TGTCGTTATATTTATATAACGACAGTTTATATAATAGATATATTTATGGCGCATGCCCCGAAAAGTGATCATGAAACACAGTAGCAAACAATACATCACATATTTGTAAATTTTTGATAAGATAAATTTTATTCAGACTTTCTTAGAACTGCAAGTGTTACTCATAAGATAGAAAATTATGACACAAGAATTTTACAAAAAGTATCCTAATACTGTATTTGAATGATAATTTTAACGTACATGAATAGAAATTTATTATTTATTTTGTTACTAATAGTTTCGCAATACTATTTATAGTTTATGTTATTTTAAGTTAGATGATAAAAAGCCCAATCTAAATTGTAGTCAAGATTTTTTTTTTCAACAATTGTCAACAACGACGATTTTTTTATCCGACTTTTACCAATTTAATTTGATAATTTATGTCTATTGGGGTAGTACACCTTTATTTGAAGAGAAATACGTTATCACAATGTCAATTTTTTTATAAAATAGTAAATGTATTTGTTGGATAAATCGTTTTTATTTCAAATTTGAATTACTTCAATTATTAGAAAAAAATACAATTTAATTTAATTGTTTTACTTGGAATATCATTTTTCATTAAAAAACAAAAAACCATTATNTAATTTAATTGTTTTACTTAGAATATCATTTTTCATTAAAAACAAAAAACCATTATATTCTTTTTTTTTATGGTATAAATAGTTTCCAAAATAAATATTATATCTTCTCAATGTTGTTATTTCATGTATACTTCTAATGCTTTGTTGAACGCACTAGAGTACCTATATTGCATACATAATACGCCTGATTGAAAAATAAGAGAAAAATGGTTTTAAAATGATAAAATTTGAAATTCCCATACGTTTTGTCCAAATATGAGATGTATTTATTGAAACCACTTATTATGTATTTTATCTAAAATTGATGACGTACGAGTCACAATCAATAATAATATTCTTTGATTAAAATTTTACTACAAAATGACCAGTGAAAAAGTGAACTCTTTTTATTATTTTAAAAGGTCAATAAACATCTAATTATTGTTTACTTTAACCCCCGTAAAAACGGAAATGAGTTGGAATTCTTCGCTAAACACGCTGTTTCCCAAGGGTAATCGTACTGTCGGTCGGTTTGTGTATTTATTACAACTCCTTATTATAAGGTACATGCGAAGTACTAGCTCCTGCGTCTTAAGTCCCGGTGGTAAGATGAAAAAAAATATTGAATGTAGCAAAATATTATTCTAAATTAAAGATGGTAAGACTCGAGAGCTGCCTCATCGCGGTCGTTCCCTTATTATTCATTTGCGGACCGAGCGACGGTGTACTCAATGAGCTTTGCGGCCATAAAACACCTTTCTGCACTAGTTGATGGTAATAAAATAGTTCCACTAAAAGACGTATAATAAAAGCCTGGTCTTTACGTGTCAGACCATATCGGTGACCCGTGGCATTAATAATTCAATGAGCACCANTCGGTGACCCGTGGCATTAATAATTCAATGAGCACCAAGACGGCTAAGAATGAGAAGATTTTTTGGATCTCGTTACTTTTATCTTTTTGTCCGCCAAAAGGTTTTTTTCGCTTCGCATTTTTTCTTTAGTTGAATGTGTTAAATTGAGTTGAACGGTTCACTTCAACGATTTGCACGGGGCACACGTTCACTTTCAGACACGTGTTTCAATTAAACGTTGCATGTGAAGTAGTTATATTTAATTGTTATTAGATGGAATCTTACAGTATACCAAGTCTATATCAAATGTACTTGAATTTTATAACAAAAATTGAGATCGCTTTAATTTATACGGTCTTAAAAATGATTGCGTGACAACAATTTCAACAATGGCGATGGGCTTAAATAATATTTGAAAGTTTAATTAACTTTTTTGTCTTAGAAAAATATGCATCATTTTCACGAAAATATTTTACTGACTTTATTTTTAATATTTATGACCCACCATAAAATATATACATTAAAACGAATTATTACTTGTTATTTTAGGAATCAAAAAGTACTTAGTAAATGAAAAGATCAATGGATTACGTGATTAATAGTTACTTTTTTTTATTTATAATAGAATTATGAGTAAATATTTAAGCAAAACGATACTAGTATTATCAAAGCTGTTTTATACTTATGATAAACTATTTTTATTTTATTTTATTATTAACTAAATTTATTACGATCATGGAGGTTTATTGGTTTAAAAATAAAACAAAAATTAAACTACTGAAACGTTCAAAATTATAGTGATGAATATTATTAAAATTTTAAATATTCATCGTACCTATTTGAATTAAATATAAATATTTGAATAAACATTAAATACATGTTTTAGTAAGTTATTCAATAATTTGTGTGCTATAAATCGAAATCCATTCGTGTTAATGAACGATTATAAAATACTACTATTAAAATTTATAAACATCACTCATTAGAAGTACAATTTAACATCTTATCTCTATAATTTCATTTATACAAGATCTCTTTATATATATATATGTATAATGAATTTGCATGAACTTCTTTAAGTCTAAATATGATATTTCTAATTGAAAATAATATATTTGACAATCATATTAATATAAATTTATGCAAACTCTCTAATTTGTGAATTTATATGTAAACATTGGATAAACTACTATAGTAATCAATAATGGAGCGTTCCATTTGTAAGACACGTACAAAACCCTTGAATTAAGGATTATTAAGTACTAAACAATGTTACAGGTACGGTAGAATGGGTGACGGTGAAAACGACGTCGTTTAGAAGCAAAGATATCTGTACAACAATAATAATATTCATTTATTTTTCACTTTGTCTCGACGTCACGTTGCTGTGACTAGTATTAAAATAATATTACTTAATCCGACGGGGAAAAAATCAAACGATTCCCGTGCTAGAGGCATTCGTTTTGTAATACTAAAACACGGTCAAAATTTGTTAGAAATACTGTAATGAAGTAACGGCACATTGGTTAGTAAACATAAAAACAACAATGGAAACATGGGCATTGCAATAAAAAGATAAGACATTTTTATTCAGTGATCATCGTTACATGTATTGATATCCATTTATTTAATACTAATAAAAAGCTTATAAATGTTACTTTAAAAGTTAAATAAACAAAAAAAAAAAATAAAAACGTTTTTTGGAGTCTTTATATTTTTTCGGAACATCTGTCTAAAAAATACCACGTACAACGTTCATGAATATTTGTTTAGATATTTTTCGTTACGCAATTTATTTGATTCAATAAATTATTTATGGATATTTAACATAATGTTGAAGTAGCGAATTGAGAACAGATTTATAATGAAAACTATTTGAGAGAGACATTTTTCCAATTACATAATATTTTTGAAATAACTAAAAAAAAATTTTGCACGCCTGCAACTGTAAAATTTTTTATGGTTGTAACTGCAAAAAAAGAAATATTTTTTACTTATAACATCCTAGTCCGGATTGTTTTGTGAACTTTTTAACGGTTTTAACATTTGTCCAAGGTAACATAAACAAAAATCTCAAAAGCAATTGAAGTTTTAATATGCTTAAAATATTCCTCAGAAACCGTCCCATCTCCTTTAGTCCTTTATAATTACTTCGTTAAGTATAATTTCATGACAAAAATATAAAGCTATAGAAATAATTTTGTTTAAATTTGATTACATTTTAAAACAGCTTTGTGGTTTAAAGATAATTAGTTTTTTCCAATTGCAATAAAATATCTATGAGATAAATTCGAATAAACTATATCGTAATTTATCATTAAGTACAGTGGCGATTAAAAAAAAACTTTAATACCGCATTGGATTTTTTTTTAATAGTGTCGTTATTTTCATAGCTTACGTTAAAATCATTTTAATTTCCCCGTGTCAAATGATTTAGATTTATTACACCTGACCTATTCGGATCTATGGAAAAAACAAAAGTGAAAATAATTTATGGAAGTGTTAATATTTTATCGTTGATTTAAAAAGCTTAGCAGTGATGTACAAAGAATGTGAACACATTTGAACATTTTTTACAATAGGAAAATATTTAGACAACAATATGATTGAATTAATTCAGACGGTATTTAATAAGTAAATTTAAAATATAAAATTAATATCAATATAAATTTTTCAACGAGAATTTATAAAGATTTATTTGTTTAAAACTATCATATTCAATGAGAGTAATGTGCACTTTATTAAAACGAGAAGTATTTGTTTTGCAGTGCTTGTTCAAATAAATTATCACTGCCGTACACAGCTCAAACGTTTATGCATCAATCTTTTGCCATTAAAGATATTAAAGTAGAATCTGCGTATTTATGTAACTATTTGACCAGAATAATACATTGTAAGTTCCCAGGAGATGTTTTAGTACCGGCCATACGTTTTGCACTGGTCCAGTATGACCGTAATGCTATTTGTTCTCGTTAACAACAATGGGAGAAGATTTTACCAGAGATTTTGTAGCTAAGACCACTTCCCTTATGGACACAGATCATGTTCCCCGGTTGGACCCCAGAAATAACAATTCTGATTCACCCTACCCGGCACAATCGATTTTACAATCTTCCACGAAAACATCGAGGGATATTGGCCAGTCATTTGTTCGCAAGTCAAACAGCCGTTCTTTGTAATTAGTCGTCTTCATAGTTTATCTGTGACATATTTTCTACACGCTGGAATTCACATGTCACGAATTAAATACCACCGGACATTACGACGAACATAATCAAGGCACCTTTTATGTTTCCACCAGTAAACGTGGTCCACCCAATACATTCAAGTTGAAAACAGTAGAGTTTTCACTTTTTTCGAAAACACTATCACGAAAAAGTCGAAATCAGAGACAGTAGCGGAAAACCACCAGTTATGCTTTTGACACGTATCGTACACGGATTATAAGCACTACACTGTAAAATAAGTTATTGTTTTTTTTATAGTATAAAGTTTTATTACAGCATTGTACATGTGTTCTTAAGTTTTATTTGAAACTTACTGTTGGGATGTCTTGTTTATTTTCTCATCAGCATTTGATTATTCTCGCTTTCCATTTCAGAACTATTTCAATCGTTAAGTTACTGTTACAATAATATTCCTTAAGAATGATTCTAAATGAAATTAAAGCAATCGTATATTTATTCCCAACTGAATCATTTTCATTTTCCTACGATAAATAATAAACATACCTGTAAAATTTAATGTAGTCGATAATATACTATTTTATTACACAATCAAATACAGTTTAAACGGAAAATTACAGATATCGACTGAAAACTTTATAATGGAACATGTTATCTACATTATTTATACGGCATATCGTATTGAGGATATGTTATGCACTTATATTTATACTTGGAATTATAGGTTCACCTCTACGTGGCGGGTAAGTCGGTCGTTTGCTGTTTATTTTGGTTTTGGCATTTGACATAAAGCAATATTTCGTTTATAATATATGTTCCTTAGTTATTTTTCGCTGGTGGCATTTTTCTTTTGGTACATTCACTGCCCAAGATAATCTTGATTATTGTTAATGTTTCATGAACTACGATATTTAATGTAACAACGAAATATTTATGTGTCATATAATCTTGATGTTAAAACTTGGACGTAAAATTACAAAAACGTCCGAAGAAGTTAAATAGAAAAATTATACGTTTTACAATGATTAAGATTTTATGAGTAATTCGTTTTATTTTCTATCGTGTTGAATGTTTTACTAAATACTAAATAACTTGTGAATTGCTCCATTAATACAAGCCATATTTTTGGATAATTTGCCATAAAGTTAAAATTAAAGCACATTGAAATCATGTATTAACTTTCTATTCAGAACCTGTTTTTACCAAATTTTACTGTTATTTATTAAACAATTTCGTCAATTTTAGTAAATTTACTAGGAAATAAAATGTGAACACGTTCATTTGTTTTATTAGTGTTAATAGATATGATATTTTAACTATTGATAGGATACTAATAGAACTCTACGGTTATTTATAAACATCTTTGTACTAAATTCTCCAGTAAATAAAACATAAATAATTAATTTACAAGTAAATTAACTTTTAATGTATTTATAAAAAAAAATCAACATGAATTTAAATACTCATCAAATGTTATAAATGGTCTCATTTGTTATATAATTTATAAAATTGTATCTTTAAAATTCTAAGTACCAATCATAATCATAACCGTTAGTGTTTTTTTTTTATTTATTGTTATTTCCTAATTATTTATTTTACACACTATAAATGAATGACATTTCTTCAATAAAAATAGTTATCATTAGTTGGACATTATTTTTTTATATAATTATTATTATATAAACGTAGTTTTTAAATTATTATAAATTATTTATTGTAAATGCACTCGCTTACCTTTTGGCATAATAAATATTAATATTATTTTCAAACAAAGAAAACTTATGACTGATCAATAACAAATGGTGATAAGACGGACCTAACTACCGGACAAAAGTACCACCGTCGGTACGTTAAAATTAGATCATTATCTAATAAATATGCTAGTGAATTACTTATGTTACTTTTAAAAAAGAAATAAGTTGACACTCNGAAATAAGTTGACACTCTTATAAGGGATAACCATAAAAAATACTTAATGATTGACGAATTGAGAAAAACACGTAACAAAAAATTATCAATATTATTTTTATTTTCGATTAATTAAGTGGTTCGTGATAAATAAATAACCTTCTATTAATTTTAAAGACACATAAAATCGTTTCTAGTCAATACATGAATAATAAAATGATTAATGTTTGCCTTATCTCAACGACTTTCACAATACAAGTTTTAAAGAAATTATTACTATATAATACGTAATAATAATTATTCCATAGTTATAATTTCTATATTTTAATAATATTAATGTATAGAAATTATTAAGAACCAGTAGCAAATTTACCACTTCTAAGTACTCTAGCATTTGTCTGTGGTTCGAATATATACCCAGATTCCAATTTATCAAAACGGTTTTTGTCACACTAAAATCCTAAGCTTTAACATAAATTTTACTTCTTGGTATAATTACTGTGTTATGTATACACAAAATAAAATTGATGCTCTAAGCATTGCGTCATCAAACAACTGCTATTCTATTTTAAAATTCAGTACAAAACAGAATAGTAGAATTCATTTTCAATTAAATAGCATTAGCTCTAAAATTCTAAAATTATTCGTTTCATTCAATCATCTTACAAATATAATTAGTAAGTTTTTTTGTAGAGTCAAGTGTGCTTTAAACTAATATATTGTTGAATAATCATGCTATTTTACTATCAAGTTTAGTCAACTATATCGATGTCCTATACATAGTAAATATATTTAGACAGTCAAATCAAATTTCCGTAAATAATTATCAATTTTTTTCATTAACAAAAAATAATAATTCAAAATATGAAAAAATGTTTTCTTTTAATATATATTCGTCAAAAATATATCAATACTATTTGTTTTTATAAAAAAATAATTAGTTATTTCAATTTATTTATGATCAAAATGCATATTTATAAATAATATAAAAAAGTAACAAAAAGAAATGCTGATTGTATTTTCGTAAACTAAACTTAATGATAGCAAAGTATTAAATTGTGTATTCTGAAATTCAAAAAAGGCTACTTTTATTTTAAAAGATACTTTTGATATTTTACCTTATAATAAAATAAATTATGATAACAACAATTAAATCAAAATAATTAAGCGCTTTAACAATACATTGTATTAGAGGTCAAACATATGAATCATTTTTGTTAACATAGGATTATAATTTGAAAATATTACTTAGTACATATGCAGTCTTAGGTTGCTTGTAATTAAATTGAACCATCAAAAGCTAGGAGAAAAAAAATTTTTTTTTTTTAAAAAAAAAAATCATAAATATCAATTAATTAATTATTTACATGTACATTTATAAAAAAGTAGCAAAATGAAAGTCTGATTGCTTTTTCGAAAATTAAACTTAATGATAGCAAAGTATTAAGTTGTGTATTCTGAAATTCGAAAATAGCAACTTTTACACTCGTAGAGAAAGCAACGTTGGTGTCTAGGAAACAGTTAACTACTTAGTATTGAAGTGAACATTTTTTACAGATTTCCATCCTTGAGATTCTAAAATGTGGTTATTTTATCTCACATTCTTCCGCGTATTTAGAAGATAAATACGTGAAAAATAAATTTGTTAAAAAAACAAATAATAAACGTATAATCAACAATTAAATTTTTTAATTTTATTCAAAATTCATGTACAATGTAAATTTTAAAAATAATTTGCCTTGAGGACAAATTATTTTTAATACAAATTAAATTTTTAATTGTTTAATTGTTTTTACTATATTGCCATAAATAATAAAAAGAAGTCCAGTATGACATGAAAACGAAATAAAATTATAATTGCTAAATATCTATTACACTGTCATTTGTTTATACTCAGTATTATGGCGAAATATAGTGAAAACATGAAAATTAACGTTTTGAAATAAATTTTTAACATTATTGAAATAAGTTTGTAGAGTTAAATAATTTTCATTGATTATATGTTCTAAATATTCTCCATTTTTTAATTTGTCAGTAAAAGTCTCTTTCAGTTTATAATCTTGTAATTCATAAAACTCCTTACGATTCTCAGTAAACTGATTTGTAGCCATACGGTGAATTCCATTAATTTGTGTGCTAATTATTTCAAAAGTTTTTTTTATCTTATAATCTTTAGTTTGATTTAAAAATGTATTAATTAATTGGAAATCATTATGCGAATCTTCAAAAACATTTAAATCAAAAAATTTTATGAATTCATTTACTAACGTCACCATTGAGAACCAGAGGATACTCCATTTTTTAACATTCATGTTATACGAACATTCCACATTAGCAGCATATGCTGATGTGTGTACTATTAAATGAATATAAAGAGATAATTGTACAGCATCCATTAAGATTCTTCTGAATTTAAATAAGTCTAAATATATCGAATTATGATCAATCCATTTATTTATAGCAACATGATAACTATCGAATAAACCATCTTCGAATTTTGTCTTCCAAATAATAAATGAACAATTTGTAAAAAGTGTTTTTACAGATTCTTTTTCTGGAAAGATATCATATAAAAACAAATTTTGTGGTGTATAATAATTAACTGTTGCATTATTACAATTTCCAAATTTTGATTNGTGGTGTATAATAATTAACTGTTTCATTATTACAATTTCCAAATTTTGATTGAATATTATGTTTAAGGGATTCCAATTTTGAGGGAATTTTGTTAATCGATTCAATGTCATTATTCAAATAATTTATAAAATAACTATCTTTATTTTTTTCAAATGTTTTTTGATTAAAATATAGTCCTTGTCTAATGTTTATGATCTCATAAAAAATGCGATCAGCTTTACGTTCCATTAATATTTGATTTTCAGATAAATTTAAATTTTCTAGAGGCTTATAAAATTTGTCAACTGAATTTGAAAGTAAACTAAGTTGCCATAACCACCCAATTTGGTGATTGGTTGATATACTCAATATGTGTGCGATTAGCTTACCAAACTCGTTTAAATAGGAAATAAAAAGTGCATTGTCTGCTGTCTTGTTATTTGCTATCCAATTTTGAAATATTTCTAAAATATTCTTGATTTTCTTTGCAATATCTTTCGGAATTGGAGTACTATCCGCATTGATCCCGTATTCAAAGAGAGTGATACTAAATAAAAAAATTAATCCCACATTCGCTATTTTCATGATTGTAATAGATATTACCTGATTCAATTAAATTTCTTTTTTCTTTTTGTAATTAATCTGCCAAATAAACTTTTGAAAGGAAACTAAATATAATAGTTTCGCACTCTTCTGTTAAATAAAATTTACAATAGGCATCAATGAGTTTATAAATTGTTGCAAATGAATTCTTAATTAAACATACTACTAAAAGTGACATATTTTTCTCAAAATAAAATTGTCGACAAACATTTGAAAATAAAATGATTAATGTATTGGGGTGTTATTTCATTGTGTGATAAATCAAAGTTTTAAGTCATTACTTATGTTTATAATAAAATCTAAATTTAATGAACACTAAAAATTTTTTTAAGTAAATAAAAATCATGTATTTTTAATTTAGATTTAAAGTAATCAATTACATAGGTAAAAAAAATGTTAAAGAAACAGTAATATTTAAA